AATAATAATAATAATAATAATAATAATAATTAATACACTTCTACGTGGACATATTAAGGCAACTACATTGAGTATAAATATACATATTTACATTTGACTTATCAACCGTTTTTGATTCTCTTCGAATGCTTTTCTATTTCCTTTACAAATTTCCTTTTATAAATAGAGAATGCTTGCATGTTCTCAAATATATAAATATTGAAATTAATTACAAGCAAACAAATCTTATAGCTGCGCGCCTGGGACTAACTTTTTCTGTTCTCTGTTTTACTTTTTTTGCCTCTAATGTTCTTAAATTCCATTAGCCCCTTCTCTCTATACAATACTATCCAAGGTTCTTTCCTCTCTCAAGTGAATGCAAGGCAACCTAGTCATCAACCAACAGCGACGAACATATTGATTTTGAATGAATAAGAGTTTCTTCCACTTATGTATTCATATATCAATGAGCCTTCCCACTCGATAAATAAAGCTTAGCATAGGGGGTTGGGAGGGGTGGGGTTGAAAAAGGCAAATATGGCAAGATGTTGTGAAGGAAGGTTTTAGGAAATTCTTTACAGCCAAGACATAATTAAAAATTTTGGCTGTGGATACCAAGATGTTGTTGTGAAGGAAGCTTTTACAATACTCGTTAGAGCTCTGATAATAACCACCTTCAGCTCTGTTGAGCCTTTATTGTTGGAGTATTTATAAAGTGGCAAAGCCCAATCATTGTCAGGTATTTATAAAATGGAAAAGGGAGGACTCTGCAATGTGTATAAATGCCTTTAAGGAGAGGCTTTGCTGGCTGCTTGACAACTTTGGGGTCCTCTTGATGGGACCAAGCATTTTGCAACTCATATGGAACATCGCACGGAATTGTATGTGATTTTTGCGTAATTACACTTGTGCCTTACCCCCGTTTCTTTTGAGGGGTGCATAATTACACTTCCAGGCACAGACATTTGGATTCTTTTAATGGTGGGGCTAAAATTTACATTTTTATTCGATAATGAAAGGTTTGTGACTTGAATGATGAATTTCCTGACCACTCATACAATATCAATGTGGACTTATTCCAGGGTTTGCAAATCATGTTAATTGCTTGAGATCCATAAGCCTATCTTATTTTATGTCATAATATTGTGCATTTTACTGCTGTCAACATATTTCTTTTGAGGGATTTGATTTTCTTTGTGAGCATAACTAGTCTGTTACATCTTTTGTGAGTAAATTAACCTTTCAGCTTTCTGTGGGAAGTCTACTAGGTTTCATGGTTACTTCTGTTAAGAAATTATGCTTTTGTCAGCACGTGGTAGGTTTAATGTAATAATAGTCAACCTGCATCCAACTGACAAATAACTAGAAATAAGTGCAAATTTGCTTTCTCGTTACTTATTGATTTAACCAATAACTTTTTCACGTCTGTCTTTTTCTTAACCTTTATTTGTTATTATGCCTTTCCTTGTATGTGTTTTGTAAGTTTGTGTGCGGGGGGGTGGTATAATAGACTTCTGATGGCTCTGTCTCGCACTCACATTTTAAGGATCTCATAGATAACAGATACTGCTTTTATTGTTTTCATCTTGGCAGAATTTCTTTTGTTGTTTTTTTCCATTTTGTGCATTTTACTGGTGTCAACATATTTCTTTTGAGGGATTTGATTTTCTTTGTGAGGATAACCAGTCTGTTACATCTTTTGTGAGTAAATTAACCTTTCAGCTTTCTGTGGGAAGTCTACTAGGTTTCTTGGTTACTTCTGTTAAGAAATTATGCTTTTGTCAGCACGTGGTAGGTTTAATGTAATAATAGTCAACCTGCATCCAACTGACAAATAACTAGAAATAAGTGCAATTTGCTTTCTCGTTACTTATTGATTTAACCAATAAATTTTTCACGTCTCTCTTTTTCTTAACCTTTATTTGTTATTATGCCTTTCCTTGTATGTGTTTTGTAAGTTTGTGTGCGGGGGTGGTATAATAGACTTCTGATGGCTCTGTCTCGCACTCACATTTTAAGGATCTCATAGATAACAGATACTGCTTTTATTGTTTTCATCTTGGCAGAATTTCTTTTGTTGTTTTTTTCCATTTTGAACTTATTTTTCTCCTTAATTTCTGGATTCAATTGTTCCATTTTTATTAAGGGCTTCAACGTGATTTCTAGGCAGCTTAACATGTGGGTGAAGTTCTAGATCTTTTGTGAATCTTTTGATATTCATAGCTGATATGGTGAGTGCCACCTATTTTTCATATTCTAATATTTGACGAATCTTTCGGTTTTAAAATTCTGCTTCCTGATTTTATTTTGCATTTATTTGATTTGGCTCCATGAGATTTTTCATTCTTGAACTTGCTGAAATGTTGCAGCTTGCCCTGGATTTGTTCCTTTTCAAGTTCGATAATATTACTCTCATCAAATTTGATCTTAAATATATTTTCTATGCCAATGCTCCATCTTAAATAATTCTCTAGGTGTAAAACAAAAAATGTATTAGGGAGTTCTCCTGAACCTTTTGGTTTGTATGAAAAACTCATGTATAGTATGTGTTTAAAATATATTTTTCCTTTTTGCTTTTTTTTTTATGTTTTTCATTAGAAGTCCTGGATAACACAATTTTTATCATCTCCTTTTGGTAGGTTGAAGATGTTAAAACTATCATACCTAGGAACTCTGTGGTTGAGGTCAACCAATCTGGCCTGCTTATGGAGACATTGATTGACATAACACCTCAGGATCCTCTTCCAACACCTTCCGTTGGACCTACTGATCCTGGTTGCCTTAAAGAAGGCCTCATTGTATGTGATAGAGAGAAAATGAAAGGGCAACAAGGAGTAAGCTTGGATGCTTTAGTAAGTATATTCACCCGTCTTGGACGAGAAATGGAGGAAGTTGGCATCAGAAGAAGCTACATGTTGGCTGAAAAAGTTGCATCCATTGTACAGGAAGCACAACCTCTAATTGCGAAGGTTTGATTTTTTATGTTTGCCAAAATCCTTGGCAAGTTTTTATGCAGGAAATGCCCATTAAATTGATGTTTGCCAAAACCCTTTCACATCTTGTTCTTGGATGCATGGATTCCAGTGGACTAATTGACAGTTTTGGTTTTCTTATGTTCTTCTATGATTTATATGTTTTAGGATTATTATGGAAAGTTGGTACGATTAAACATTGAATCCTGAATGGTAAGATGCATTATCACTTGAAAAAAGGGATGCATTATCACTTTGACATTTTGTATGGACTCAAAGGCCACAATAGATGCAAGTGCCATTTATAAACTTCTTGGATGGATTTCAATTTATATAACTATTTTTAAAAAAATAAATTTTGTATCTTGGTAAACTATAAAGTTCATATCTTCGCTGTTCACTTGCTGCTCCTGACTTTTCTGAGGTGCAGTTCTTAAGTTTTAGTTTGTTTACCCTCCTTTTCTTCTTCCCCACCTTCTCTTGATAAAAAATTTGTGAGTAATGTAATGAAATGTGACGCTTGGCGGGCTGTAGGGCTCGTTTGAGAGGGCGTCGGCCTTCAGTTTTATTGCAGAAACAGTTAACAGAACTCCCTCGTTTTCTTTGCCTGATCAATTTTTCCTCAGTTGCGTCTGCTGCAACCTTATTTTTCAGTTTTAGATTGCACCATGGCCCCTCTGTTCCAGTGTTTCAGATCGTCGTTCTGGCAAAAGTAGATACAAAAATTTTTACTGCTCGAAGAACAAGAAGGGTAAATGATATTCTACTGGGCAAAGAACAACGAAAATCTCCTCCATGGCAGATGTCCTTTGTTGTTCCCTTTGACGGCCTTTTGGGAAAAAAGGACACAGGCTTTTTCTGTAACGTTTTAGGCAGTGTTGACTCAGAGATCCAAACAAAGAGAGGAAGGAGGAGAGAAGACACTAACTGGTAATTACAGTCATTAACATTTTTGGGAGATTTACATACGTAACACTCTCAAACTTGGGACAGATGATGAGGTTATCATGGGAGAAGAATGGATCGCGATTAGAGTTAGCGGAAGGTTATTTAAAACGTCACAGAATTTTTTTATATTCAAACAGGAGTTTTAATTTATAGAACTTAATTTTTTAACACAGCTTTTTCTGATGCTGTGTTTGAACGGACTTTTCGAGGAGGTCAAGTTTTCTCAAACGAGCCCTTAGGATTTGGAACTTTGAAAATATATTAACCATTGGGAGGGGTTTTTAATCAACACTGGAGTAATTTGCTTTTTAATCTGCTTGGAATTGTATAATGCTGTAACCTTTTATTCTTTATTAAAATTCTAGTTCTAGCTTTAGAACATGATTAAATTTTGACAAACAAGCTTGCATGCTTCATATGAAATCATTTTAATCTTCTCTTTTGTTCTGCAGGTTGAACTCTTGGCTGAAGACATTCAACCATTACTTACTGAGATCCGTGATAGTGCTGTTTTGAAGGATGTTGAAATCTTAACCAAAAGTCTAGCAGAAGCAACAGAGGAATTGAGGTGAGTTTGATGATTGCTTCATTATAATGCAATGTTATTTGATTTTTATAGTCATTAGCTAGTTTCTGTAGAATGTGCCATTCCTTGCAGTTCGATTATAAATTTGGTTTCATGCTGACAAGATTTATCATGCATGTAAATCTTGAGTTGAAAAAATTACCAGTGAAAACATATTAAGAGCATTGCATATGATTTTTATTAACCTTGAGAAGCATATGATTTTGATTGAATGTTATGAGAGTTGATTTGGGTTCTTTAAGGCTGAAATTTGTGTTAAAGGTATGCTGAAATATTATATATACACATGTGGATGTGCACAGATTCCGGTATATGATGTAGCACTAGCTAGTATTACAAATAACTGTCAGTGACCGAAGAGCTTTGATTCAACTAAAATTACATTGAGGGAGAGAATTGAGTTTATATCTTTTTCTACTAGTTATAGAAATGCTTATAAAAAAAATATTTTGAGTAAAATATCTTCGTGTGTGTTTTTTTGCAGATGATATGGTTCTAACCGGTTCTATGAAGTTTAGTGAAAAATTAGAAGATTAAAAAAATACTTAAATTGTTAGAGGATTAAGAATTAATAGAATAAATTTTTAGTTTATGATATGCAATTCTAGTGAATACGACCGATTTTAATGATCTTAATATCATTAATAATAATAAAATTTTTTATTTTTATCGTTACATTAGTAAAAAAGAAGTTGAGGAGGCTTTCAAAGGCTAAAGGTGGAAAATCAATATGATTTAATGGTATCCCAATAGAAGCGTGAAAATATTTAAGAGATTTGAGAGTTTCTTGACTTACTAAAATTTTAATATTATTTTAATAACTGAAAAGATGCATGAAGTGTGGAGAAAGAGTAATTTGATCCTCATTTTTAAGAATAAAGAGGATGTACAAGAGTGTAAATTATAGAGGAATGAAGTTAATTTGTCATACATTAAAATTATGGGAGAGAATAATTGAACATAGGTTACGATTAAACCTGGGCATTACGCGGGTGGCCCGATTGGCTCACCATGAGCCCACTTAAAATGGACGGACTTGGGTATGAAAAAATTAAAATCTTGCGGGCTTGGCCCAGCTAAACCCACAAAGCCCGAATAAGCCCCCACCACGCCAAGCTTGGCATGCCCATTGTCCTGGTCTCATAATTATATTTCGCGATTGCAAGCTTTTGAGGTGATTAATTTTCTAATCATTTCTCTTCTTTATGTAGCCTAAATTTTGTTTTTTATATTAATACCAACCAAATCTTTTATATCACTTTCAGTTTTTCTTTTTAAATGACATACAACTTTCATGTGTATATAAGATGACAAATATGTAAAAATTGAAGTCTAAGTGTTAGATATGTAATTAAATAGAAATTGATGAGTAGCACGTATTTAAATCTTTTTTTTCTGTGATATTTTACTCAGCTCCTTTGTATTTACATATCGAAATGTTTTTAGTTTAAAATCTTACGTATTTTATGTGTATACATTTGCTATTAAATTCACTTAAACGTATTAAAAAATTCGTACATACAAAATCTATTTAAAACTCTTGTCACACATTCTTTCATGTTTCAAGCGTTCATATTACATTTTTTTTAATAAATTAAATCAACAACATAATTCAAGAGAAAATGTTAAAAATTTTATTATTTATTTATTTTTTGGTATAAAAAATCACTTTTCATTTAAGTTCCATGGAGGTCCGCTAGCCGACCTGTCCTACTTAGTAGGCGGGCCTGACTATGAAATTATAAATAAAATCTGGGCTCAAGCTCGACCCTTGACTTGTAAAAGCCCAAATAAGCCCGACTCACGCCACCCGGTCCGCCCAGCCCTCAGGTTTAGTTACGATGTGATATAAAGATCTATGATTATCATTTTGGATTTATGTTGAGGAAATCTACTATGGAAGCTATACATCTATTGAGAGATTTGATAGAAGTACAGAGAATGGAGGATCTACATATGATTTTTATGGATTTAGAAATAATTTACGATAAGGTTTTTAGATAAGTTTTTTGGAGAGTTCTAGAAAAGAAAGGTTTTGACATGCTTATAGTTAAGTCATTAAAGATATGCATACTAGAGCTGTTACATGTGTTCGAACAGAAGGAAGATTTACCAAGTATTTTTCTATTCAGTTGGATTATATCATGGATCAACTTTAAGCCCATATTTGATATTGAAAACAAGGTAAAATTGAAATCTGTACTTTAGAAAATCTAGAAAACAAGAAAAATTTCAGGCTGAAAATACCAAGAAAGGGAAGAATGCATAAACTATAATGAACGATGGTTGATCACCACCTTGGCGTCACTCTAGAATACTGAGTACACTTTTCAACACATAAGGATATGAGAAATGTTCTTACAACCAATCAAAATACTCTCTATCCTCAGCCCATACAAAATAACTTTTATTTATAGAGGCTAGACTCTCGTAATTACAAGTATGTCTTTCTAAAACATAAAGACACAACAACAAATTGAAATACATATACCAAGACATATAAATTGAAATAAAACTCTAGCTCCCACATCATTCTCTCAGGATTTTCAAGGTTTCCTCATATTGAACAATCTCATAATCTAATTTCTAACGAGCAACCAACTTGGAGGCATTGAAAATTGATGAAGTCACTCTAATCTCCAGGTAGGTTAAGTTTTTGTGATCCAAACAACTTCCAATATTGAATATTCAAAGCCATTCTTCTTTGGAATCGCACACGGGCTAGTACTATGCCACCCCAAGCCTTTGCGGTTCAACTCATCTACTTGGCGTTGAAGTTCCTCGTGCTCCTTTGGAGGCAACATATATGCAAGTTTGTTGGGGACGACCGAACCAAGCACAAGATCAATGACATGTTACTCTCTCATAGGAGGCAATCCCGCAAGAATCTCTACCAGAAATAAGATTTCAAACTGTTGTATCAATCCCTGCACTTCTGGAGGAGTTGTGGGTAGCTATATGGAACTATTGGTTATTGTCAAGACGTACCTCGTGACTGTGTCTTTAAGGTCTTTCAAAAGCAATGCAGGAACATACTAGGAAATCTTTGAGCCCATTTATAGAATTGGAATTCACGACAAAACTCAAATTGATCTGTAAATTTGGAATTCACTGTAACAATTCTTGCAACCCAAGAATTCTGATGCCAAAATTGCAATAAAACAATCTTCACGGTAACAAGGATAATATCAGTAGTCTGCAAACGAAAAACAGAACTACAGATATCCAATAGCAATCTTCCACGGGCTGTACAAAGGATACCCATGACTGGACAGAGTAAAAAGCAGGGAATCCCGATAGCAGAGGAAACACTCGTCTTGACAGAGGAATCCCATGGCTGGACAACAGAGAATTGCGGCTAGACCCGCAAGAACCTGTTGGAAAAACCAGAAACCCAAAATTTTGGAAAACTGGAACAGCAAAATTGCAAGAACTGGAATCTGGACAAAAATTAGCAAATATGGATTGGAAAACCGTGTAAAACCTGGATTGCAAGCCTAAGAAAAATCTGGACAAAAAACCGCAAGTTAGTTCTTGCAGCCACTGAAGTTCAGGAAAAAAAAAAGGAAAAAAAAATCTGGACAGAATTCCTGAGAAAGGATAAATTTGAAAATAAATGAAAAGAGAAAGGATGAAATGCATAAGAACTCGGAGAAGGAAGAGAAAAGATGTGCAAGAACCTGGCTCATATACCAAGATAATGCCAGAAAGAAGGTAAAACATAAATCTGTATTTCGGAAAATCTAGAAAACAGAAAAATGTTTGGACCGAAAATCCCAAGAAAGGTAACAATGCATAAAATGTAATGAATGATGCTTGATCAACAACTGGGCGCCACTCCAGGATACTAAATACACTTCTTAACCCGAAAGGATACAAGAAAGGTTTTTACAACTCATCAAAATACTCCCTATCCTCAGCTCTTGCACAAAATTGCCCCTATTTATAGAGGCTAGACTTTTATAATTGCAAGTATGTCATCCTGAAATATAGAGACAATAATAACTTGGAACATATAATACCAAAACATATAAACCGAAATAAAACTCTAGCTCCCGTGTCAATATCTTTTTCATTTCACATTTTTGTCTTTAAGTGTCAAATCACGCATACACCTATGCATTCTCATCTCAGCAACACTTCAGTTAATCTTAGATGGCTTGATCACATTAAATGTCGAACATCTAATGATACGGTTAGGAAAGTAGATGTTTTAGATTCAACTTTTGTTAAGAACGGTAGAGGCGGACCTAAAATGGACTTTGGCCTATTGTATAAAAAATAATCTTAATTTAATTTATTAGAATTAAAAATATGACACTCATAGGACACAATGGAGAAAATGGATTCATGTAGCCAACCTAACTTAGTGGGATAAAGGCTGCTTGTTGTTTTTGTTGTATTATTAAAAGGTAAAGGGACACATATGCGTGATACATTTAAGATTCTTGAATATATTATCCAGAATAAGACAAATATTATAACTTATAAAATGAAGAGTGGGTGCTTAAGATGGATGTCTTTTGTAATATCATGTGGTACAAGGATATAAAGGAAACTAGCATGTAAATTAAACTTTGGAAAGCATGCTAACTAGCTAGAAATCAATGAACATGCTCATTCCAATAAGCATGCAAATCACTCAAACATGCATGTCATTTTCAAACTAAAATATTTCAACTATATTGTGTGCATATTTATTTCATTGGCATAATAGGACAAAGAATATTTCTGATATGTCAGTATATTCTTGAACTAAAAATGGCAACAAAAAATGAAATGATAAGAAAGGAAAAATAATTCCATTAAAATTTCAACAATTATACAAAAAAGTTAGATAAAAATTTCAAATATATTTTGAGATTTCTGGAGTCATCATAAAACTCATTTAGAGGCAAATTAACCTATTAAAATTCTTGATAAATGATAAAATATAATGCAAACACCGATAAATATAGGATTCATTATAGCTCGATTTGCCATGCATCAAAGGTGGAGTCGAACCCTGTCTCGAAGATTGTTTAAATTGCATAAGCTTTAAAAGTAGACTGGCTGTATGGGTGCTGCTGCCCATAGGTTAGGATTAGATGTCCCAATTCATAAATTCGAACTTCCACATATTAGGGAGTAAAAGAAAGGCTATAAATCAATTGCTTCTATAGAATCAAACAAATCCATCTCACTGTAGACTGGGAATTAAATGTTTCACTTAAAGTGTTACCAACGCTTTAGACATCATATTTGCTTGAGGCTTTCAAGGATTTCTATGACAAAAATCCAGTGCGCCACTTTATCTACAGGGCAAGGCCAAGTTCCAATCTTTGGGCTAGAAGCTTTACATAATATGGCAGGATTATAAAATTCATAGGTTTGATCTTCTACATTTTGGGGTAGAGTTGACCGGATCTGTAACCTATTATTATTCCAATACTTGTTTCTTTACATATAGAGGGCTATCTAATAGTCATAATAGAAAGTGTCCACATTTTGATAACTGCTTTAGCAGAAAAATATTAATTAGAAGCAAATGGCTTGCTAAAGTTTCTTGTAGTGCATTTGTACAAGTCCTTCAAGTTTTTTTAAATGAAAACTCATTTAAAAGGAAATTTATTGGGCTACTCTGCCAATATGGTAGAGTTGTAAGTTTTAACCACGGACCTTCTGTTTGGAGTACCTTTACTCATTGCAATATATTTTATGATCTAAAAGTGGGGAAATTGAATACAAATGCCATATGAACATAAATTCTCTTGGGCTTGATCCTCTGCTAACGACGTACTAAATTGAGGTCCATAACCAGATAGTATTCTAATCTTGATTCGTTATGAATAAATAATAAAGGTAATAGTAATTTCTATATTGAAATAAAGAATAAGCTTTTTCCTTGCTTTATTTTTGTGTGAAGATCATGACTGCTTAATTCCATCAAATGACATAATAATCTTCAACCTAAAATATTCTACACAGGTTTCAAGGCAGTGCATCACTATGCCGGCATAACCGTCACAAATATAACAGGAGTTTCTAACAAATATGTGCATCTCACAATGAATCAAGCGAAATATCTAAAATTATTCCTTGATGACGGACTTTGTTATTAAAATATCTTAATTGAAGTGGTCTTGTCACAAAAATCCTATTTAATTTCGAAGAAAGAACACTGAGCTTTCTCCCAATAATGGATCTCAAATGCAGCCCCAATCCCCTACATAAATATAAATGAAGAAAAAATATATTACAAATTAGAAGGTCAAATAATAATGGATAGCTTCATATCTAGAGCAATAACCTATCTTCAATTCTCTACATTAATTTATCATGGATGAAAATTTTGAGTTTTATCAAATCTCACAAAAAGTCAGTTTTGTGGAGAACAGAATGCAGAGTAAAATTTCAGTGAATTCTAAACTCTCATTTTATTTCATCCTCAATGCATTCTAAACTTACCCAGATTTGGGTGAAATCGAATATATTGTAAATTATGCTGCTGTCATCTGCCAACCTCTTTCGTTGCCTGTTGATGCCCATCCTTGCCGCTGCAAACCTGCCGCTAGCTGCTGACCGCCCACCGCCGCCAAATATTACATTCTTTGAAGATTGTTTCCTGCTGGGGACTTTTTATTGTATACTTTCTTCTTAATATTATGGTAGAGCGCAATAACATCTTGGTGAACTAGATTCCCATCTTTCCAATGTCTTTAATGTACTTCATGAGTTTGTGAGCGTAAAGGTGTTTGTTTTTTGACATCTAACATTTGGGCGAGGATAAAGTGCTTATGCAACGCCTTAAAGGGCAAGGACAGAGGCTTCGATCCTCCATCTTCCTCTTTAGATTCAAAAAGCTTTATATAAAAACCAAATTTCATGTGGCCTACTTTGATGCTTATACTACATTACTCATAGGTAAGGACACCTACAAAATTTTAAACAAATATGAAATAGTAAAACAAAACTTTTTATATGAATTAATGAAAATAAAACAAGCTTTTGGAGTAGACTTGAGTAACCAGGCATTTAAAGCTTGAGATCTTTGAAAATGAAGAATAGAAGCCTTTAGAGGAGACTTGCTACTAGGTAAGATTGCTCCTACCTGGATCCCCAAAATTCCAAAATCCTTCTCTAATGTCATACAAGTCATCGAGAAAACAGCCTAAATTCCTCAAGTTCATCCATAAATTTATGATTTTCGAACTTGTTTCCCTTTTTTTTGGATATTGTTGAATACAATACAACATAAAATAAACTAAAAAATAAAAAACTTCTCCATTTTCCAACAACCTTCGCTATTGTAGTGGAGACTTGTACTCCAATACAAATGAGATCATCTCATTTTTTTCTCTCTTCTTGTTTGTTAGAAGATTGCGCTCTTCAATTCTAACTCCAGAGAACGTCGAGATCTTTCGTCGGTCTATCTTCACCCTTGTGTACACCTTAAAAAACCTCGAGGTAAAATATATGCCTTCCCTCTTCTCTATTGGTGATCTCATGCAAACCTAAAACTTGGTGCGGGTTAACTTCACTTGATTTGTATGCTTGCAGAGTATTAGCTCAGACATCTCAGTATTCACCAGCGACGAGGCAACAAGGCAGAACATAAAGATGCTCATCAAGTCCCTCAGCAGGATCTTGTAGTCCCTCAGCAGGATCTTGTAGTAAAGGAATGTTGAATCTTTATTCTCAATCTCCGGTTCGAAGGATCAATATGTATGAGCAGTTGGATCGTTCGACAGATTTGTTAAATCAAATAAATGAAATCAAACTATGGGCGAAATTGAATCAATCAAATCATAAGTCGAACCAACCAAACCAGAACGAGCGAATCATTCATGCTGTTCTTGAATAGGCTTAATGTTGTTCTGCATAGGTATAAGCTTGATTTTTGCACTTTTTTTGCTGCTGAACTATAAATGTTTGGATGATTTGAAACTTATATTTTACCAGTCAAAAAGTTGCTGTGCTCTTGAAGCTGATCAGTGACCATCTTTAGTGGCTTTAAATTGTTTGTTTAGCTAGCTGTGATTCATTGTTCATGCAATTAACACACTAAAATATTATCAAAGTAAATGTAAATATTAAGATATTAGATGTACAAATAAATGAAATTTTATGGTATGCAAGCAAACATCTTTACTTTATTTATTATTATTATTTATTTATTGCAAATTTAACCTTTTGATTGCAGCCCTTCATATCACTGTCAATTGACAGCTAAAACATTTGACAAATTGGTTTTGTTCCTGAGCCTTTTCTTTGAAAGCTTTCAATGTGCCATCACTTCTGATTAAAATATATTCTTAAATTAGTAAAGTCACCGAAATGATGAAATTATATATCTCATCAGCATGATTTACACATTTCCCCAGAGCGAAGATTTCCTCAGCTGAGAGGCTATATAAATCTTTAATGAAGGCTTTCTGGCTGTCATGAATCTTTTAGATGGGGATATTATCTGCTAATTGTGGCCAAAATGATTTCACCACTATGTGGTAGTTGAAGGAGTCAACATCAAAGTTGTATTTAATAAATAAAAAGTTTTTTTTTTAAATTTTGGAATTAATATTTAATTTATTTGGCATGTCATCATCATCAATTTGATGTCCTACTTTTATTAGTTCAATTGGTTAGTTTTTTACTTGCAAGCTATGGTTTGTTGGTTTGAGTATATATTTTGCACATTCGACGCATTCTAGCGAAGCAAGAACAACTAAGAAATGAGTATAAAATGGTTAAAATTTATTATAATAATCATCGTTATGTAAGAATGATAAGGTCGCCTCAAATTGTTGGAACGAATTTATCGATATAGGTTGACATTATTCTCATCTGTTTGTGGGCACAAGGATGATTGAAATCTTATTCCAATGATTATTGTGGTTTGATTATTATTTTTTTAATTAAATGAAAGATTTATATTTGTTGTAGCTTGAGGTTATTAGGCCTAAGCATTAAAATAGACATTTTTTAATTGTGAAATCTCCTAAGGTAATCAACCACATGCTTTATTAAGATGCAAATTTGCATTGTGGGTTTATATTGAGTGCATAATCATGCCTTCTTCCAATTAGTTGGAGAGGCATTTGTTTAATGATGGATTGAGGGTGATTGAACCTTGGAGGAGTTGGTACTAAGTTTAAGTACTAGTTATTTGTTATGGTTAAGTCATCATAGACACAATATCAAATTCAGTAAATGCAACTCCGAGTAATATTTGAATTGTTGAATTTTGGTACAACAATTTTGAAGTAAATGGTGGTGGATAACATAAGAGTGGTTGGAATAACAAAATTTAAGTGGTGATTGTGATAAGACAAAAGCAAGGGTTATAACAACTTTAAAATTGGCGACTATGATTGATCAAAGAGCATTGACTATAGCAACACCATACTCCTAGAGGTGGTGAGTGCATTGAACCTAAGGGTGATGACTATAACATGGCTTGGTGTAGAAAAAAATGATAAGTCTAGAAGTTGCATCCCCAAAGCTCAAGGATCACAATAATAGTAATATTAGGCTTGATATTTTCATCTAGCATGATGGTAAAGAATATTTGACATCAATTCTAAAGTTGTTAGAGATAGTAAACTTTAATGTGTGTGTTAAGATATTTTATAGTGATAATTACAGGAGGTGCAAACGTGAATATAATGATATGAAGAAATGTGATATTAGCTTAAAGCTTAAAGTTTAGCTTAATAGTCACACTAGACAAATGTAATAATATTGATAGACTTATAATTGATGGTTGGGATGGCAATGAATCTTAAACAATGATAGCTATTGGTTAAATGATAATTACAATACAATAATTGCAATGATAAATTAAAAAAAAAATTAATGAATTGATGCAAGCATTGTGTATGATGAGTCTTATAAGTGTTATTAGTGCAAATAATTGCATCTTTAGAGTGCAATGTTTAGAGGTTCAAATTGAAAATGGAATGAATAATTTCCTTTAACAACATTGACACAACAAGTGTCTTTGGATGGTTGAATGAGTAGCAACTCGTCATTTTAAACTTTAGATGACATAAGAGTGAATGTACATTTTTAAAATCACCTTTTGGGGGGCAGTAATAACTTATAGCAAGTAGCATCAAATATGAATAGAGGTTGAGAAATTTTTCTAAATCTTAATAGTTTTCAAGATGTTTCCCATAAAAATTGAATTTGGAGTTTGATTATAAACTTGAATAAAGCTAATTTTGACATATTTGAACGGCTAAAGAGTGGTGAACTTTTTGTAGATTTTTCTATATTTTTCTTAAGAGATGATCATGTGAAGTTCTTAGGTGCATAATGAGATTAAAAAGAAATTTAAGTGGCAAACTAAAGCCAAAACACTAGGTTTGACTAAGAAATAACTTGTCAGAGAGATAAGAGAGGTGGAATGCAATTGATAAGATAAAAGTAAAGGATTCTTGCAGCTGTTTGTCTTCAAGATATTGCAATAAAGAAAGCATAGTTTTATTTCATATATAGTTATAATTCATGGCTATATAAATTGCTTATATCAAGAATAACTTAGGTTTGAGCTTGATAGGATTAATATACATAATTGAGCTCATTTTAGACTACTCAAAATACATCTCATGAACTCCTGAGATGGGTGACTAATTACAAATATGGAAATGGAGTGAGATTAATATTAAAAAATAATGAAATAAAATTATGCTAGTTTTAGCCAAAGCTATTTCTTTGGATGGAGAGTGGTTTCAATTCATTTCATGATGCTTCATCATGAAGGTGGACTGGTCCCTTGAACTAGCACTTGGTGAAATTTTGAAGGGAGGGGTTGGCCATTGGCTTTTACCATTCAATTGGTATTGTCATGACTTACCATTGTGCATTTTGAAGGAGGATAACAATGAAAACACGGGATGGTGTTTTATCCTTCCAAATATTATCATTAGTACCATTATTATTATTATTATTATTATTATTATTATTATTATTACAAGTATTTAGCTCGTGGGGGGCTCAAGATTTTAGGTGAAATTGTAGTGTGTGAACATAAGAACATTATGTACTTGAATGAATATGAAAGAGTAACTGAATCTAAATACGCCTTTTGGGTTCACCTTTGTTTTTTATTTTCTAATTTTATTCTATTGTTTTGTTTATGTTTTTACTCAAAATAAGTCATATTTGATATGCTATAACATATTTGGTTGTTTTCAAAAGCACACAAAAGAATTTTCAGGTATTTTGAGTATTAAAAAAAAACTATTTTTTTTTTGTTGAAAAAAAAAACATGAGAAAAATACAGTGAACATATGCGTTTTTGAAATAAAAATAAATTATATATATTTTTCTTAATTTAATATAAACAAGTTTAAACTTTTTGTTTTTACACATAAAAAGTAATTATATTATTAAGACTTAAACCAAAATAAAATTTTAGTTTTAAGATTTAATTATAAATGGTAACATTTAGTTACAAATTAAATGAATAGAAAAAAAAATATAAATTTTATAAATAACCAAAATTTAAGTTTTTATTTATTTATTAATAGCACTTCTCGATTATATATATATATATA